TTGTTATGAAAATATAAACCTCATGGGGCAATTTGTTATGAAAATATAAACCTCAGGGGGATATTTGTAATTTTCGAAACCTCAAGGGGGTATATGTAATTTAGCTAAACATCGAGGGAGGTATATGTAATTTGCCCAATTTGAAATGAGCAAAAATATCTCTAATAATATTATTAAGGGATCTTAACTAATAAAAAAAATATATATTGAACCTTTCAAACTATAAAAAATTAGAGAGGGATGTTTCATTAATTTTTTTATAAATAATTTTTTTAAAAAATAGATGATATAATCATATAGTCATAATTATTAAATTATTAATTTTTTTGAATAATACATGTGACAAAAAAAAATAATCAAATAATCAAAATAGTGCCTTTGTAAACTAATGAACCAAGACTAAATCGGTCCAATTCACTGAATTGGAGACAAACCCAGCCCGTTTAAGAGATCTTGTTTAAAGCATTTCACATTTTATTTGAACTAACAAGTACTTTTTATAAGTGACATTTTCTATCTGATTTAATTTAAAGTAATGTTATACATAATTCGTTTTCTTACTTCGTTTCACATTTGTAGCCACAAGTCAATAAACTCACATTAGTGATGCATATGGAAGGAACCCACTCACTTATGTTTAAAAATGTGAAAACTGAATTTCCACCTTTGGCAGGAAAACATAAGGAAAGCCGTAAATTTGTGAGAAAAAATAAAAATAAATATAAAAATATAAAGATACAAATATGACCTTGTATGAAGAACAAACTCAACTTGCACTTTTATATTTTTGCAGTTAATTTCTCTTCTATATTTTTGTCCCGACTAATTTGCAAACAGGGTGTATTCTGAGGGAAAAACAAGAATAACAGTAAAGATGAAAAATATTGCAAGTTATCTCACAATTCATAGTGACAGAATGAATACTAAAAAAACGAAAGAGAGAGGAAGGTGGGATTATGGGATAATAGAAAGTTGTGTGAGAAAAGGAAAAAGTAAGAGAAAGAAGTGGAAAAATAGAAAATGTACATGTAGGATATTTTTTAAAAAATATATCTCAGCCGTTGTTTTTTAATTTGAATAGATCTGAGCCGTCCAAATGTTCTAGTATGACAAATGTGTGTAGGACAAATTCAAAAATCATCATGCTTTATTATATAGACTAGAGTATGCCCGTACCTGAAGGTACGGTGTAAATAATATTAGGATTAGAATATAATTGTAATCTCAATACTATTTAAATTTATTTCTTAATTTGATAAAATAACAAATTTATTATAAAATTTTGGAGTTTTCACAAAACGCCTCACGAAAACTCGTTTTGGTTATATAATATATAGCTAGATAGATAGATGTGCCTAGCATGCATACAATTTCCACAAGCATGCATACAATATTGCTTTTGCTTATATAATTATATGAAAATTGTATGTATGCTCGTAATGTCCTATAATTAACTGCAAAAATATAAAAGTGCAAAAATATAAGTGCAAAAATATAAGCAAATTGTTCAATAAATTGTATGTATGCTCGTAATGTCCTATAATTAACTGCAAAAATATAAAAGATGCAAAAATATAAACGGGCATACTCTAGTGGGCTTTTGTTCAATAATTACGAGCATACATACATTGTATGAAAATATATATAAAATATATTGAACAAAAATGATAAAATAAAAAAATAAACAAATAGAGAGAAAAATAAAAACAGAGAAAATAAAAAAAATAAAAAGAAAAGAAAGAGAAGGGCGGGATCATGGGATCATAGGAGGGGTGTGAGAAAATGAAAAAGTAAGAGAGAGAGAAGCGGGAAAGTAAAAAATGTATATGCAGAACATTTTTTGAAAAATATATCTCAGCAATTGTTTTATAATTTAAGTAGATCTGAACCATTCAAATGTCCTAGAAAGATAAAAATATGTTGAAGATTCAAAAACCGTCCTGCTTTATTCAAATATGTTAAAGATTCATGTGAGATCTAAATTTATGAAATCTATTAGATATTCAATATATTTAAAAATAATAATTAATTGATCAAATTCATTTAACTTGTGGATTATAAAATTCATTAATTTAATCTCCACTACACACGGTAAAATCTGGATCCTAATTCTGGAACCGAAGACTTTTTCATATAATATGAATAAAAATAATTGAACAAAAAGAAGAAAATAAAAAAAAACAAATAGAGAGAAAAATAAAAATGTGAGAAAATAAATAAATTAATTAATTAAAAAAAAAAGAGAAAGAGGAAGGTTCCATGGGATTATAAAATGATGGATGGGAAAAGGAAAAAGTAAGAGAGAAAAGCGGGAAAATAGAAAATATACATGTAAGATATTTTTGAAAAATATATCTCAGCCATTATTTTATAATTTGAATAGTTCTGAGTCATCCAAATGTTCTAGTAGGACAAATGTGTGTAGGACAAATTCAAAAACCATTCTGCTTTATTATATAGATTTTTTAAATTTAATAATTTAATTCTATATGTATATGTTATAAAAATAATAAATTTTTAGTCTAAGATTCTTGATATTAAGATTTTATAAGATAAATGAAACGTAATATTTTAATAGTAGTTGGGGTCTTTTAACATTTTCATAGAGAAATTTTAGTAAAGAGAAATTTTAGCTTCAGAGAAAAATTTCAGAAATTTCATAGAGATATTTCAGTTCATTATAAATTTGTCACACAGAAATTTGAAATGAGCTAAAATTTCTCTAATAATATTATTGAGAGATTTTAACTGATAAAAAAAAATATATTATACCTTTCATACTATAAAAAATTAAAGAGGGATGTTTCATTAATTTTTTAAAAAATAATTTTTAAAAACAAATATGATTTAATCATATAGTTATAATTATTAAATTATTAATTTGTTTGAATAATACACGTGACAAAAAAAATATATATATCAAATAATCAAAATAGTGCCTTTGTAAACCCATGAACCAAGACTAAATCGGTCCAATTCACTGAATTGGAGACAAACCTAACCCGTTTGAAAGATCTTGTTTAAAGCATTCCACATTTTATTTGAGCTAACAAGTACTTTTCATAAGTGACATTTTCTATCATTTAATTTAAAGTAATGTCATACATAATTCGTTTTCTTACTTCGTTTCCACATTTGTAGCCACAAGTCAATAAACTCACATTAGTGATGCATATGGAAGGAACCCACTCACTTATGTTTAAAAATGTGAAAATTGAATTTCCACCTTTGGCAAGAAAATATAAGGAAAGCCGTAAATTTGTGAGAAAAAATAAAAATAATTATAAAAATATAAAGATACAAATATGACCTTATTTATATGAAGAACAAACTCAACTTGAACTTTCATATTTTTGCAGTTAATTTCTCTTTTATATTTTTGTCCCCACTAATTTACAAACAGGGTGTATTCTGAGCGGAAAACAAGAATAACAGTAGAGCTGAAAAATATCGCAAGTTATCCAACAATTTATGGTGACGGAATGAATACTAAAAATTTGATGCTACTCCAAGTAGGCCACCATGGGGTTACATAGTGGTTGTTGGGCATGATTTATTGCTCCACTATTATAGGGTGAAAAATGATTTAGAGCACTAAAAAAAGAGCACTAAAAGAGCATTAAATTGTCTTTTTTCTCTTTGTGTTTTGTCTTTTTCCTCTTTTTTTTTTATTTTAATTTTTTTTTAGGTATGCCACGTCACTAGAGCTGCTTTTAGTGGTCTGTATCATAGTTGATCATAGGGTTGTATGTGGTTATGGGCTTGGTTCAGTGGGTTTGGCAGATTAATTGTTAGACTTTCAAGTTATTTTGAATCAGTGGCCTATTGAGTAATATTAAGAATCATGAAAATAATCATAAAAGATTTTTTATTTTTAAATTATACATATAATAAATCATCATATATTAATCAAATAATGAAAAATTTTCATAATGTATTTCATAATATTTTTTTTTATGATCCCTAATATTATTCGTGGCGTATTAGGTTAAGTAAATATTTTTTTAGTATAATTACTCTTTTATTTATTGACAAAAAAAAAAAAAAAAGCTAGAAAACAGATTAGATTCAAGCGGAATCTAGAGCCAATTTAATGTAATTTTTTAGATTGACTTTTTAATTATTATTATTTTTTTGTCTTTAATAATTTTTTTTAAAAAAAATTAGAAAGTAAAAATTTAAAGGAATTTATAAAAAAAAATTGATATCCTTTATTTTGTCGGCCGGCAGTGGATTATTTACATGAAAAATGATTCAGACCTCTCAAAATAGAGTTCTAATTGAGCATTAATTTGTCTTTTTCTTCCCCTTTTTTTGTCTTTTACTTCACTATTTTTTTTTTTTTTTTATACCTCGCCAGCTAATTAGAGCTGTACTGCAGCAGCTCTAATTAGACCTCTGCAGCAGCTTCGTATTTACATTTATGAGAACAATTATATTAAATTCAGAAATCATAATCCACCGACATAAATCTACCCAATCAACATAAGAAATAGAAAATAGTTCATAATCAATTGTTGTCTTTGACAACGATTGACGTTCCAATTAATTTGTCCGATGGATTTCGTAATACCAAATTACTTGCCGGATATTTTTATTTTGAAAGAGAACTGTCAAATTGAAGGATCATTTGGGAATTGACTTGTAGTGATTTTTTAACATTTTATAAAACAATGATTTGATAAATTGTAATAACTTTTTAATTTTCAGCTAAAATATTTAATTCTTAAAAATCGCTTGAGTTTGAATTTCGACATAAATAGCCGAGAGTAGATGCCACATATGCAATAATTTGAGGAGGGGTTAACTAGGCCTGTTGTTTGGCCCATAACCATTGGGTCAAAACATATCAAAATTGCTGTAAGTAATTATTTTTGTAGAGTATATCTGATTTATAAATTTTCTTTTTTAAAATCTCCACACAAATATTTATTTTTTGATTATCATTCACAAGAAAGATACCAACTCAAATTTATTCAGGAAACTGGCTACACAACTAAAATCAACAAAATATAAAGAAAGCCTGGAACATTTATACTATTTTTGAATCTTACACATTTAAGGTAAAAGAAAATGAGGGGGAAAAGAAACATTTTCTTCACCTCAAATTCTTATCAATTTTTTTTTGGGTTTCCGTACACAATTCTTTTAAAAAACTCATGACCCAAACATAACTTAACTGTTTTAAAATACAGAGACTTACAACTACAACAATCTGTCCACCATTTTATTTTCATTGCCACCGTGGAAGGTTTCTTCATATTGTTTAGTAGGCATGCATGACTTATAGAACAGATAAATGTAGATCTATAGTAAATAGTTGGAACATAATCTTTGTCCTTGAAATTAATTAAGCAACTCATCATTATAAACATTCCACCATTTTGCAATCAACATTTTGACGTCTTCTCTGTGCATGTTATCTTCTTTCGGAGTGTAGTTCCATGGTTTTGACCCCTAATTTTTTGGAAATGAAAGTGAGAAAAGGGTTGAGAAAATACTATGGATTCGCTCAAATAAATGAAAAATACTAAGTACACAGAATTAGACACAATTCTTTCACATAAGAGATCTATTAAATGTGTAGGTCTCAGCCCAATATGAAAGTGTTGTGTCTAATTCTGTGATCAAATATATATAATATAAATTTAAAATACTTACAGTTGCACAGTAGTGCACCACTTTAACTTTTTCAAGCTCAACTTTCTCCGGATGATGCCATAAAATTGGAAGAACCAAGTTGTAGATCACGGGAATAGGTTTGAACTTGTTTCTGAAGAACTTGTTCAATAAATCCTGTCATTTATAAAAGGTATAATTCTATCTTTACAAATAGAATATGAATTATGCACATAATAATGTGATTGAACAAATAATTGCAACCTACTTATCTCATTTATTGGTGGACACTTTGTTCATTTCTCTCCAAAAAATAAACAAAAAAATAATGAAACCCACTGTCTAAATCAATAATAATTAAATTGATATAATAACAATAACAATAATAATATAATAATAAAAATTTTATGGTCTAAATATATTTTTATTGTGGACGACATATCTCTATTTGGTATAGGCGAAAAAAATTACGTCTTTATTTTAGTGGGTTATTGAACTTATTTTTAGGTTCAATTTTAATGATCTGAATTATTCATATTTTAAGATTTGTCATGTATATTATATCTGTAAAAAATCAAATCAATCAAATATCAAAAATCACGTGAAGTAAAAGTTTTATTAAACAATAAAATTGTTTATTAATTTTTTTTTAATAAACGGTTTTTAATTCTTTCGATATTCGATCAATTTGATTTTTTACAGATATGATGTACATGATAAATTCTAAAATGTGAATAATTTGAATAATCGAAATTGAGCCCAAAAGTGGACCCAATGGCCCATCAAGTAGTGAGTAATGGAGAGGATCCTTGCTCAATTTTAATAGCCATGTGCAATCGGCTACGGTTTTTTTTTTTTTTTTAAATGTGAGGGATTTTAAAATTTTTATTATTTTATATAAGTGTAAGATCTATATGGTGTGGATCCTAGATATTTGATAGAAATTTTGATAAAATTTTTAGCGTCTCTAATATTTTTTATTTTTTATTTTTTACTTCTCAATTTGTCAATCCCACCGAAAGACGAATTGAAAGGTTGGAAAAAGATGGGTAATAGGATCAAATTTATTTTCAAAAAGAAATGAATAATAATGAAGTAGATATAAAAGAGATAAAATAAAATCAAAGAAATAAATTAAATTATATATTTTTTTAAAAATCTCACCACTAAAATATTATATAAACCACCGATACTACTTATTAAAATATTAATATCTAAAAAATACGAGATTTCACATTTCTAGTCTGGAAAGATTTAGAAAGTATATTTTTCAAAAAAAAAAAACACAATAGACAAAAAGAAAAGCAAAGAATTCTTTTTTTCCTCTTGTTTTTAGTGAACTTTTCTATTTTATTTTTAGTTTTTTATAAATATTCTTATAGTCTTCTACTCTTACAGAAGTGAAAAGTATTGTAATTTTATAAAAAAAAAAAAAATTATTAAAAAAAAATCTATTAAAAAAGACAACAAGAAACCATCTAATTGAAATGGAAAATTTTCTCGTGTGTAATATATGTAGTATATAACACTAACATAAAATTTCGTAAATTTTCAGAAATATATAAAAGTGATTTCACAAAAATATATAAGTTGAACACAAATTTATGTAAATTCAAAAATCACGTAAATTCTTACGAACTTCTGCAAATTTATGTTCAACTTATATATTTTTATGAAATTACTTAGGTAAGGTCATGAAAACTTATGTAATTTTATATTAAAATTACATTCAGTGCATTATACATCGTAATATTTCCCGATTAAAATGATAGTGATATACACGTGGATAACTCACCTGGTCTCCAAAGGGTCCAGGAGGAGTGATGTGAAGAGCCTTAAGTAAGTTCTGATAAGTTACACGAGAAGGCTCGAACATAAACATTCCGGCATTGAAGTACAAAGGTGGAGGTGAACCCATCTCAGGTGGCCATGTCACCTTATCTGGGCATTGCTGGCAGTACCCAATCGAGTACTGGGGTGATTGGCTCCATGACTTGTCACAAAAGCAGTCCGAGACAGCATAGAAGTAACCATCGGGCAATTCAAAGAGATGGTCGATGTTGTCCATGACTAGGATGTCTGCATCCAGATAGATCATCTTCTTGTACTCTTCTAACTACATATTAAACCACCAGAATCTGTAATTGGACCTTTTTTAATTCAATTTTATTTATTTTTATTTTTTTGATTTTTTTATGTGAATTGAATTTGATCATAGAATCAGATATAACTCCCTTACATAACTCACTTATTTGAGATGGTTGTGTTAGATTTTGTGTAGTATTTTTTTGTTATTATTATTTTTGTTTAATTACTATGTTTTGAACCAAGAAAGGCCAATGTTTATGTAATCTGAACAATCAAACACAATTCACTTAAATTGACATATTTAACGGCGAAAAAATTTCAAAAAAGTGATGAGTAAGAAATATAATTGTAAAATGATAATGGTAAAAATTTTATTTGCACAATGACCTTTTTTAATTCAATTTTATTTATTTTTATTTTTTTGATTTTTTTATGTGAATTGAATTTGATCATAAAATCATATATAACTCCCTTACATAACTCACTTATTTGAGATGGTTGTGTTAGATTTTGTGTAGTATTTTATTATTATTATTATTATTATTATTATTATTATTATTGTTTAATTACTATGTTTTGATCCAAGAAAGGCCAATTTTTATGTAATCTGATCAATCAAACACAATTCTCTTAAATTGACATATTTAATGGGGAAAAATTTTGAAAAAAGTGATGAGTAAGAAATATAATTGTAAAATGATAATGGTAAAAAATTTATTTGCACAATTCAACACATAAATCATTTATATATTTATTACTTTACAATTATTTTATACTCTCTATTTTATTATATTCTCGTGTGAGGGAGTTATGTTAAAAAAATGCTAACCTTTACTTATTGAAAGGAAGCAAATATTGCTATCTTTAAATTAATAAATAAATAAAAAGCAAATATGTTTGTATTTTATTAGTTAACTAGCCGTTGCACCCGGTTGTGCACAAACGGTAATAGAAAAATGTCTAGTCATTTGTTTTGAATTAAAATGAAATGACATATAATAATATCGCATGATTCTATACAAAATTTTTATGACAATATTAGGAATTTAGAAAAAGTACTCAAAAAGTTATTTAGAAAAATATATTTATGAATTATAATTATTCTAAATATGACTCATATTTCACAAACTTTAAATCAACACTATCTATTTCATTTTTGGAGTAAAATTCAGATCATCATTTAATGTACACTGTATTTTTCAAATTTTTATACAAAAACGTTCACATACTCTTCTATTTTTTCTTATGAGAAAATGGACTGCTTCCATTCTCTCTTTAAATGAATAGACAATAGGAAAAAATAATTTAATTCTTAAAAATCTTTATATGCTGTAGTCACCATCAGTGCACCACCACCAATATCTTTCCATTATCACTCCATCATCACCGAGTCCAAATCCTCTCCAGCCCATCTCTTCAGCTCTCCCTCCAATCGACAGACAGGATTTGACCACGTCACTCATAACAAAATCTACAACTCAAATTTACTATAAAAAAAAATTAAAATTCATTCAACACACAACACATCTGACACTCTTTGTCCCACGTCATGTCCCACCATTCACACAAACACACACACACACGCACACTCTCTCTCTCTCTCTTCTAATAAAAAATTTAAAAAATTATTTTAATCTTTTTAATTTTATTTTCATAATATATATAATTTTTAATATAAAAATTAATTTTATAAAATTAATGTCATTGAAAATATATCTTTAAAATAGACAAATATTAAATATATTTAATAAAAAAATTAAAGTAAATAAAAAGTAATTACTATGTTTAGTTATGTTTTGAAATTATTATTTTTTAAATATAAAAATTAATTTGATGAAATAAACACACAAAAATCATATATTTTTGAAATTTTCAAAAACAATCTTCATTCCAAAAAAAAAATCATATCAAAATAATTTTTTTAAAGGAAATAAAAAACACACAAATCTAATCTGTGCATTTAAAAAAAAAATACACAAATTCAATCTGTACATAGGTGCAAATCAAATACGACATGTTTTTTTTATTTTCATCTGATTTTTTTTTTTTTAAAAGTCATTATTTTTATATTTTTTTTTTTAGAATAAAGATTGTTTTTGAGAATTTCAAAAATATATGATTTTTGTGTGTTGATTTCATCAAATTAATTTTTATATTTAAAAAATAATAATTTGAAAACATAACTAAACATCGTAATTAGTTTTTATTTATTTTAAATTTTTATTAAATATATTTAATATTAATCTCATTTTAAAGGTATATTTTTAATGATATTAATGTTATAAAATTAAAATTTTATATTAAAAATTATATATTATGAAAATAAAATTAAAAAGATTAAAATATTTTTTTTAATTTTTTATTAGAAACAGGAAAGAGAGAGAGTGTGTGTGAGTGGTGGGATGTGATGTGGGACAGAGAGTGTCAGATGTTTTGTTATGGGTGACGTAACTAAATCTTGAAAAGCTGGAGAGGATGTGGACACATCATCACCACCCATCCATAACCACTTTCATCACCACCACTATTCAAAAAAAAAACTTAAATAATAAAGGAAAATGATTGGTGGCCCTAAAAAATTTGCCCCTAATGCCCCTAATTTTCATTTTTAGAAACTGTTTTCTTTTTTTCTTTCTTTTTTCCTTTTTTTTTTTTTTTTTTCCCAAAAGTGGAATTTCGGGGCATTCGAGCCCCGAAATTTAGGGCCCTCAAGCAGCGCTGTTAGTTATAATGTATTGTAATCCTTTTACTTAGAAATATAGTATGAGATATAATATTTTTAAGATATGAGATTTATTATATATACAAGGAAAAAAGAAAGAAAAAAAGAAAACAGTTTCCAAAATTGGAAATTAGGGGCATTAGGGGCAAAGTTTTTAGGGCCACCAATCATTTTCCATAAAAAAAAATGTAACTAAATAAAAAAAAAAATTGAGTAAGAAAAACCAATTTTTTTGGTTTTTATTGATTTAAGAAAAGAGGTCTACTCCTCGTCTAAGACCTAAAATTTAGAAGAAAGTTTGATAAAAAAAAAAAATAGAAAAAATGTAATTAAAAATTTTAAAAAAAAATCAACAAAAATATTGCAAAAAAACATTTGTCAAACCAGTCCAAAGAAAAAGTTTTATATAATTTTTAATTATTCTTTTTGAGATTAATTATTCAAATCTCCTATTTGTAAGGTTGGTATTCTATTAGCTCTACTTCATTATTTTTAACCAAGAAGATCCCATTTTCAAAAGATTTTTATTTATATGACTATTTTACCCTTATAAAAACACAGAAAGAATTGAAAAGCGTCAATTCATTAAGTGTTTAAAAAAAATTATTAAGTGTTCTAAGTATACCACATGATAATGTTATCTACAAATTACTAAACATTATGCCCTATATTCCAATACAAAATTGTCTCCACCAATCACAATTCTTTTAGGTAACATGTGACAGAGCGCTAGACAACTTTTCCTCACTCATTATTTATTTTGTTGTTTCAAAACTTAAAAATTTTATAACTTTTATTATACATATTTATTTTTAAATAAAATTTATATTTCACAAGTCTACACAATGAGATCTATTAAACAAGATTAATATTGAATATAAAATTTTAAAAAATTAAAATATTATTTTTAATTGTACAAAATTTGACAATTTCATAGTTTGTGAAATTATCCAGTAAAATTGAGAAATTTCTCAATTTTTTTTTTCACTTTTGAAACTGATAGCATTATTAGTTGTTTTTTTTTTCAATTTTAGAACTAAAATATTATCTATTTTTTCAGTTAAAATTGAGAATTTTTTTAGTTTTGCACGAGAATGTTTAATCTTCATACTCCTTCATAGATAGAAAATTTTCAATTTTGCATTAAATGTTTTAGTTTTTTTTAGTTTTTTCAATTTTGCACAGAATTTTTTCAGTTTTAAAATTGATGTCTTAAAGTTTTGAAAATCAAAATCAATGTCACATTATCATGCTCCTTTATAAACAATCACAAAATGATCCATAAAATGGGACTTGTTTGTAAATGTTTTTTCTTTTTTATAGAAATTATTTTCAGTTAAAAAATATTACAAATAGAGGTCTGGTATATTTTATGCCACAAAAATTGATTCGTTAACACAGTTCCTCCCCCTAAACCCCCCGAATGACATGGCAAGTAAAATTTAAAAAGTTGACTCACAGTTCAATATTTTCTTAAAACTCTCCTTACATGCATTCTATTTTATCACCTCATTTGAGAAATTTTGAGAGGAAAAAATTATATAGATGTATCACTGCAATTTATGCCACATTAATCCAGTGAGCATTCTTATTCAAGTGCAAAAGTTAGGCCCAAATTTTAAACTCAATAATGTAGTAATCAATTAAAATATCTAAGTCAACTTTCTCTCTCATATTTTCTTTAGTTATTAGTCAATTGTCTCTCTTACATATCATTAGGTCTATGGAGTGAGTCTAAAAAGTGGGTTTGCATATCATTTTCCTAGTCGAATTATGAGTCTTACAAATATATGACATTGAAATTAGTTCTTGGAAATGACGATAGTATACACTCCTCGAAAGGTGTGTACCATATGCACTTTATAATTATATTTTTTTATATATAATTTCATATTTTTTGAGTCATAACTTAAAATAATAAAAAAAAAACAAAAAAAAAAAAGAAGTCATAACTAAACATTCATGAAGTATAACTAAAGATTTCAAAATAGTGTCATTACTACATAAAAGAATTGATCATAACTAAAGAACAAAATGAAATAACTAAAGATATATATGATAATGAGTGTGTATTGTAAAATTCTCCTTAATTCTTTACTTCCTATCTAAAAAAGTATTTAATTAAAAAAAAAATTCATTATTTAACAAACACAATAATGCTACATCTCTTAATTTATTACCCCCAAATGACCCCTAATAATATAATATTGAAATTAGACCCTGCATAATAAAATATTTAACTAATTAAAATTTGACACCTGTCAAATATATCATTAAAAATAATTTTTAAAAATGATAAGTTAGTGTCTCAAGAATTTCTATTAATCAGCAAGTCAATAATAGTAGCAGTAACCATAGTACGGCCGTTCATTGGCTTATCTTACCTTCCATATACCAAGCTTGGAGTACCAGAGCTCATAGTATGGGCTTTCAAACTCAATCTCGCTCTCCGGTGGATACACTGCCTCCATCTCTCTCACCACGCAACCTTGACACCTCAAGATCTTACGGTGGTCCTCCGGCACGTCCGGCAAGATTACCACCACAAGAGGGTAAGCACTCTTCACCTTCTTCAAACACTTAGCCAATGCAATCACACCTTTCACATAATCAGTATTCCCTGCTAAAAATGTCACGTATGCCCTTTTTGAGTAACCTAAGGGCGAGTTTAGGGCCATATTGTGACAAGATTTTACTATGTAAACTAAAGAGGCTTGTGGTTTGTGGGTTGGTGTGTTTGATTAAGGTGTGATCGGAAATGCCAACATACTTGCTAGGATTGGCAATAGCTTGTTCCTTAAATAGACAGCCAAATGAGGAACACATGCATAACAAATGAAATCCAAATGTAACTTAAGTTGACCCTTATTGACTTGGATTTTTCTTTGTTTTTCTTCTTAAACTTTAGAATATATATATTTTTTAATTAACAAAGTAAGAATTTCATTAAAATTATGAAATTAAATGTACAAGAAGATGTAATGCATCGAGAAAGGTTCAGACAATACAAAATATTTTTACTATTGTTACTCGTACTTGTACAACCAACCATTTACCTCCACAATTTTTTACTTTTTTTTAATGTTATTATTATTTTTTTAAACCAAAAAAACCCAAAACAACACAAAAACAAAAACAAATAGTTTAGAAGCAATTTAAAAAGACAAAATAGGTTATTTTAGTCACAAAAAATAAAATATCACATCCAACCTATAATCATTACATTTTTCTCTCACAAAAAAGTCAAAAAACTCTTCCTAAACTAAATTTTTTAGCTCAGACTAAAATAATTAAAAAAATCAAAAAGACAAAAAATCAACCACTTCTTACACGGAGGCTAACTAGAAAAACAAAAAACAACAACCCCAAAATCCAACCACACTACAGCAACCACACTCCAGACATAGAAAAATCCAAAATCAGCACTCTTGATTATTTTATATTAACCACAACTTTAACACCCACTAATCCATAACATCAAAAATGGGTTACACGAGTGCTTCTTAGAATATTAAACTTTAGAACATGTTTAGGAAATCAAAAACCCATAATATTAAACTGTAGAATATGTTTAGCCTATGTTTGGAAATAAGGTTTTGTGGCTTTTTTGGCTAAAATAATTACAAAAAATAAAATAAATTTTTTAATCTAATAAGATAAAATATCACATTTAATCCATAATCATTACATTCTTTCTCTCACAAAAATGTCAAAAGTCATTCTCAAACCAAGTTTTTTAGTCCCATTACATTTTTTCTCTAAAAAAAAAAGCTAAAAATTATTTCCAAACTAAATTTTTTAACCTCAAACTAAAATAATTAAAAAAATCAAAATATCAACCTCCTTTTCAAACGATGCATTAAGAAATCATAAATGGGTTACACAACTGAATGCAAAATTTCATCTATCCATATGTAGTCTATATATGTTGGATTTTTGTGTTGTTAACATAATTATATGTTGGATTTTTGTGTTGTTAACATAATTGTCGACTTTAGTTTTTTATGTATAGTACACAGAAAAGTCACATTTTTGTCGTTTACTTTATGGGATTAATAATTGCTATTCTAATATTTTCTGTCGTCTTGTCTTAATTTATTTAAAATTATTAAATTATTTGAAAATTTTGAGTTGTATAAAAATTTAAGACAGGCGGTGTTTGGCAATAATTTTTTTAGATTTTTTTCACTAATAGATAGTTTTTACAAAATCGAAAAAAACAAATCTAAATAAAATATCATATCAAACTCCATAATTATTTTATTTTTTCTCTCACAAACATTACATCAAATCACAAAAAAATCTAACTATCTTTCCAAACACAAAAAAAAAAAAAAAATCTAATAATATCTTATAACTAAAAAAAACTTACATAAAAACTCACTTCTCAAACACCCACTAAGGTCTTGTTTGGGAACAGGCTAATTTAGTAACTTTTTAGCTAATTGGCTAAAATATGAGCTAAAAAAAACTAGTATGTTTGGGATGAATTTTTAACTTTTTACGAAAAGATGTGCAAAAAAATATAAAGAAAAGAAAATTTTTAATTTTTTAATATGAATTATTAATTTTTTAATTAATTTAAAAACTTTTTGATTAAAAAATATGATTTCCAAACGAAACCTAAATAACTCTATGTAAACTATTGGACATAGTCAAAGGATATTTTGGAATAGGGTATTCTTAACTAACAACATCCCATAGTATCAACGACTAGTCAAATCAGGTGGACAGTTTGTCTCCATTTCAATTATTACGGCAATATAAAATTTCACATTAATCGGTGATACTATCATGCTTTATGAAAATAAGTTACTGTAGTAAATTTTTGGTCTAATTTGATTGTTTTTTTTATTTTTATTTTTTATATTGGATGTTGGGATTTATTTACCTGGATTTCAACTAATCTCAGAATTCACGGAAAGCATCCCATTTATGTAGATCAGACAAATCTCGAAAAGAATTCACAGACGTGACTTTAAAGAACAGATTATTTCTACTCAGAGTTAAATTTGAGATTTAGAGAAAATACACTCCTAGGCCCTATATTGCATCAATTAGGTCAATCCCTTAGGGTTGACTACTCTTGATTGCTTCACATATGCAAACCAAACCAAACTAAATCAAGCCAAGCCTTAAGTTACATCAAATGAAATCGACTATATGAGTACTTGTTCTCCACTTGACTTTATCAACGGCCATTTGATTAGTCAAATTTAAGAGATTTATATCTATATTTACTACACTAACCCACATCAATTTAGGTATGTGCCTTCCTCTAATACTTCTATCTACCATCACGGTATCGCACTCTTCATTATTATATTTGTTGATCTCCATTGTGTATGACTGCTCTTGATTATTTCATAGATGCAATGGAATCAAAATTTCCATTTCATTTAATAACTTCTAGCATTTAATGAAAATTTAAAATTTCCAAAAATGTAAAATTACTAAAGATTTTCTTAACTGTTTTTTATTTAAAATTATATTAAAATTAATTAATGTGAATCTATTACAACCATAAATTGGAGTCCCCATTCCATTATTACAAACAAATAGATTTTAAAAAAATGACATATGTTATCCCTATCATATTATTTATTGAATTTAATGAAATCATAATGTACTCTTTTGGAAAGCTGGTAGAAAGTTAATTTCTAACTTTTTATTAATTTTGAATCACATCATCTCTCACATAACTTACTTATAAAAAGATAAAATAAATTAAAAAAGTTAAAAAATTAATTTTTTACCAACTTCTCAAAATATCCTAATATATATATATATATATATATACTATATTTATAATTAGATATTTAGAGGTTGTTTGAGATGTTCTAAATAAGTTTACTTTTTACTTTTTATAAAAAGATGTATAGAAAAGTAAAGAGAAGATATTGATTGATGTGACTTAAAAAAGATAAAAATATAAAAAGTATAGACTTATTTAGGCCAAGTTTGGGAAGACTAAAAAAGTGTACTTTTTGTCTTTTTGGACTAAAAAATTGAGGTTGAAAATATGGATGTTTGGGTTAACTTTTTGACTTTTTATGAAAAAACGTGTATTAAAAAATTGTAAAAATTAGTTTGTAAGGAAAAATTAGGATTGGGATTTGTGCAGCCGTAATTGTTGACTTTTGGTGAATAGTATTAATTTTTTAACTTTTTGAGTAACTTTTTAACTTTTTGACTTTTTTAGAAGTACCCAAACTTGACCTTAGTCTACCTAAACTTCGCCTTAGATGAATTTATACACATCTCCATCAATCACAGGACGACTTATCATGGATTAGATTGAAGGGAATCTTGGTCCGTGCAGTATATCCCTAATTTATTCCCACCAGGAGGATGATGGCATGAACATTTTTTGCAATTTTTTTTTTTTTTTTTTTTTGTACAAGACATAAAACGTAATGATGGCATGAGCATTAACTGTAAAATTTTTTTTTTTTTTTTTTTTGGGTACAAGACATAAAACGTAATGATGGCATGAGCATTAACTGTAACGTGAAGTAGCCAGACATAAATAAAAGTGATAATTGGTGGCCTTGTTTTGTTTATTTTTGAGAAAAATTTTTGGAAAAATTTTTTTACAAATAAATTTTTAAGAGTAATTAAATTAAATAATTTTTTTAAAAAAAAATTGCAAAATTTTGTTTGGTTTGCTTCTTTCCAAAATCACTATCTCTTTCATACACATCAAATCAATCACTTTTTTTAAAACTCTCTCCTCAAAAAAAAATTTCAAAATTATTTCTGAAAAAAAAAAAACCAAACAAATTTCTATACTTTTTATCTCAAAAATTACTATATAAACACAAACCAAACAAGCCGTTCTCTCTTGCCAATTGATTTTTTGTTTTTTAAATTCTCTTAATTTTTCAGGATAAAATATAGTTACTAAAAAAATTAACTGTGACCCATTTTCTACATTTTGGACTCATTTGAAAAGTTGTTTAAAAGTCAGCTTTTGACTTTTAATTTGTTTTAAATCATATTATTTTTATATTTTTTACTTATTAAAAATAAAAAATAAATAAAAAATCAACTTTTAATCAATTTTTCAAAATATTTCTTTGTTTCCAAGCTCATTTTGACGGCTTTAGAATTGATTTTTTTTTAATTTTAAAATACTGTTAATTAATTATTTCTTAATTCTTCGTATTGTAAATTTATTTTTATTTAAGTTTACTTTTTACTACTTTTAAAGATGAAAATTTATTTGTTAAGTTTTCAAAAAAAAAAATTTAATTAATAATATCATTAATCTACTTAATTTTTCTTATGTTATCATCAATCTTATATTCAATTAATTTATCAATTTTAGTTTTGATTTAATTTTTATTTTATAGAAGCTACTTACAAGTATTGTCAATAATTTTTTTTTTTACAAACAATGCTTGTATTCAGAAAAGAATATAGTTATATATATGTGTGTGTTGTTTTCTGACCACACTGCCAAACAGGTACTCACCTGGAGAACACTGGCAGAATAGATAGCGCCCGAACGACCTGTCACAGAAAGAAAAGACTCCGGCGGTGATTCTTCCACCCGGGGTACTCCGACGATCAAGTCAATTATCTCTCAAAGATAGCAAAAGTGCCTTATTTTTATAACCAACACTGACCTGATCCCTGTAGAAGCCTAGCTTCAATAGACTCTGACTCAATGCCTATCAAGGACTCTCAAATAGATAATGATAAACTCCCTAAGAGTTTTATCATTATCTAGGCTGAAGTCCTCCCTTATTCTAGGATTCTTATAACTT